AAAGACTTTTTGTTAATGATCATCATAGGAAAGAGCCAGTGAGATACGGCATATATATACTGCCTCAAATCAAACTCCTGCTTTTACTCTGGTCATCCCACTGCTGTGTGTTTAGGTCCAGTTGAAGCAAAATCCGACTATTTTGAGTTTTTACTCAGTTTTGTCCTTCAGTTTGTTTAGAATTTTAGTAAATTTAGAAACTGGCAACCTTGTAAAACCATAAGAACTAGAGGAAGCTTTGCCTTGTTTTTGCTGTGACATGAAGGGAATTGTTCAGAGGACAGATGATGTTGTTTCTCCCAGGCCCATCATCTCCAGCTCGCCCTGTCACGCCTCAGTCTCGAGGGAGTCCAGTGCCGCCTCCTCCTCCTCCTCGTCCAACCTCAAGACCAAAGCTACCCCCGGGGAAACCAATCACAGAGCTAGTGCGTATAAAAAAGATTTCCACTTTAACATGACTCATTCCATTTTAGTGTCAGGATTAAGCAAAAGCAATTCTGTTGGTCCTTTTTTCCCATTTTTTAGAGTCGGCCATTCAGCCCACCGGTTGCAGTGAGCCCTCCACCTTTTGCACCCCTGGCCCGCGCTGAGAGCTCCTCCTCCCTCTCCTCTGTCACCTCACATAGTGCAGCTTCCACTCCAACCTTAGGACGAGACCTCAGCATGCCCACCACAGGTATGGATACGTGTTGGCATTGTCCTCTTTTGAGCTGAACACCACATGGCGTCTGCTTCTCGTCATCATGTCCTCACCTCATTGTCTTATCCCTCTCATGATTCTGTCTCCCCTCATGTCTCTGCTCACCCAGAGGCCTCACAGCCTCTAGTGTGGTTTGACCACGGCAGGTTTTTTTTAGCCTTTGAAGGTGAGTCGTTCCACAGAGCAGCAAAGAGCCCTTGTCAGTGCATGAAGCCCTTCTAGACATTCTGTTTTTATCCCTTGTCTTGCTGCACATCCCATCTCCTGTTTACAAAGATCACAGAATTATATAATGTTTCAGGCTCATCGGAAGTTCCCGTATGCTCATTAGTGGCATAAAATTCAGCTGATTAACTGCTTTTTTTTTTTAAATTAACGACTAAAGCAAAATACTTCAGTTATTTAAAAAATATAGAGAGGGCAATTCATGCACACTGATGTTTGGATCATCACATAGACATCACTGGGGTTCTGGTATGATTCTTGCTGAATTTTAGACCTCTGTTCTTGTCCCAAATGGTGGATCTAATTTTAATTATTTTGTTTTCTTTGGTGGAAGAACCCCTGTGGTGGTTTTATTGGACATTAGTGCAGCGTTTGATACTAATGATCACATTTAATCAGTTCTGGTAAAATGGATTGGCCATGTTGGTACAACATTGTATTGGTTTAGATCCCGCTTCAAGGACAGGGTCTTGTGTCAGTAGGTACATCAGAGTCCTTAACCCTGTAATGCCAAATGTATCATATTTGATACATACGGTTTCTGAAATGTTTTGCGTCTGACACCTTTTGCATAATTTAATGGTAAAAACTTTGCTCAAA